TGTTCCTTTGTCTTTTTTCTTCCCCTTTTCTATTCTGTACCTCGTTCTTCTATCCTTATTGACCGCATGTTGCTTTTTTTCCCTCTTTGTTATAAGGCTTTGTCTGTTTTTCTTTTTTTTCGTTCTGTTTTTTTTTTCCGCATTTGAAACCGTTTTTTTTCATACTCAATTATCTTTCTGTCTATATGTCGTTTTGTCTTTATCGGGTCAACAAAAGATTGCAAATGTTTTTGTTTTTCATTTTCTTGCTTTGTTCGTATTTTTCCGACGCGTTTTGTTGCTAAGCTTTTATTTGTGATTGGAAGCCATAGGTCTGATGTGTGTTTCCAGATGTCTGGCCTTTGGACATAGTAGCAGGCACTTCTGTCATTCCGTCTAGGCAGGTAGAGCAGGTCTCCTGCAGGGGAGACCGTGTCTGGTGATTCCTCCGTTTATATAACCATGTGTTTACCGGGAGTGCTCGATGAGAAAGTAACCATTGAAAACTTCTTACCTTCACTCCTGATGTGGACAAGATTCGACTCCACGGGGAAAAGTTTGTGTTGCTGTGTGGTATGTCCAGGTGTGTTTCCCATCTGTGGTTTACGATCCGGGTTATTGATACAGATCTCATTCTTAGTGCATGTCCCGGGTTCGTGGTGTACGCCAAGATGATACTTCGCTTCTTGAGGTCTGAAGTTAAAGGTTCATGAAGTTACGGGTTAGAGCTTTCGGTCAGGATTGTAAAAACAGGGTTCATGGCTTGCCATTGTGGGTTTACGTTCATGAAATGTCGTCTGCGATTGACATTCTCAAAACAGGGTTTAGGTTCTTCAGAGCTTGAGGTATGAAGCTAGAGGGTTCATTGCTTCCCGAGGTCTGAAGTTAAAGGTTCATGAAGTTACAGGTTCTGGTCTTTCGGTCAGGATTGTAAAAACAGGGTTCAGGGCTTGCCATTCTGGGTTTAGGGTCATGAAATGCCGCATGCGATTGACATTCTCAAAACAGGGTTTAGGTTCTTCAGAGGTTCAGGTATGAAGCTCGAGGGTTCATTGTGAGGATTAACGTAAATGGCCTCACACTTTCTCTATTGTCTTCCCTGCGGTCCTCAGAGTAGAGTGCTACATTTGAAACTGTTCTCATGCTTGTTTTTGTTTGCAATGATCACCACTCAGACAAGCACATAACTCAGCAAACATGCTACCAGTTCGTCGATCTCGGTGTTCGCACTAAGACCAGAACTGAGATCACCTCTCAGACAAGCACTCAGACCAGCACTAAGACCAACACTCAGACAAGCACATATGCACACGAGGGATGCATCACCCTTCTCCCCCCCATCAAGTGTAGGATCTGCTCCGAACAGTTTCGTAACTGATCCGTGGTCCACTATGCTGTCACAAGGAATCAAACTTCTTCAGACCTGTCTTCCATGTGGCAATTGATGTAGTTCTATTGCTATTTGCCGCCACACGTTTTGCTTGCTCCTGATGATCATTTTGTATATCTTGCTTAAAGATTCTTAAGTGAATTTGTCGTGCTCGTGCTGCTTGCCCGTCCTTGTTGCTGTGTCTGCTGGCCCGCGCGTGTGTGTGTGTGTGTGTGTGTGTGTGTGTGTGTGTGTGTGTGTGTGTGTGTGTGTGTGTGTGTGTGTGTGTGTGTGTGTGTGT